GGTTAATTCATACTTTACTTCAATAGGAGATACACTTGCCAAATGTATTCTCAATCGATTGAACACTAAAGAAAATGAATTGGCACGACTAGCTAGAACATCATCTAGGCCATTGAGTTCAATGTCTTTTATCTCAACAGATCCACGCGAGGTCAGAAATATTGTTTTGGGACTCAGATCGCACAGTGCCCCAGGATGGGACAATATCACCACAAACATACTTAAACAAAACATCATGTCACTTGCTAATCCTATAACATATTTGTGCAATCTGAGTCTGGAGATAGGTATTTTCCCTGATAAATTTAAAAGAGCTGTTGTATGCCCAATCTATAAGTCTGGTGAAAAATATAATCCTACCAACTATAGACCCATATCTATCCTGTCTACTCTATCAAAAATTCTAGAAAAAATAGTTAACAAAAGACTTACCAGTTACCTAGAAAAAAATGGACTCATTAATCATAACCAATATGGCTTTAGGGTAGAAAAATCGACAGAAGACGCAGTTCTGGCGCTTACAACGACATTGATGAAACAGCTTGATAAAGGTGATAAATGCCTGGGAGTTTTCCTAGATCTACAGAAGGCTTTTGATACGGTCTCCGTGCCCATATTGGTCAGCAAAATTGAGAATGTTGGAATAAGAGGAATTGCCCTAGACTGGTTTAAGGACTATTTATCTGGTAGAACACAATGTGTACGTATTGGTAAATATGAAAGTGACAATGCCACATGCAGTTACGGAGTTCCACAAGGCAGTACACTTGGGCCTACTCTTTTTCTTATTTATATCAACGAATTATGCAATACTATCTTGCCAGGACTTGATATAACCATGTTTGCAGATGACACAGTGCTAGTGTTCCACGGTAGCACTTGGGAAGGGCTCTTCCTACTAGCAGAACTCGGCCTAGCTAAAGTGACAGCGGGGCTTGAAAATAGTCTTCTATCCATTAACGTCAACAAAACCAAGTACGTTTGCTTTAGTAAATCAGTCTCAGGTAATCCCGGAGATAGATAGAAGTTCAAATACATGAATTTCCGTGTAACCGTGCGATGAACTACGGCACTTGCAACTGTGCAACTCTATCTCGCGTTACCCGCATCAAATATCTTGGAGTTATATTGGATGAAAGGCTTTCTTGGAATATCCACATAGCATCGCTGGCGACCAGGATCAGGAAAACAATTTACATATTTAAAAATTTACGTACAGTGGCCAATAACCAGCTATTAATCCTAACCTACAGGGCGCTTGTTGAGTGTATTATTAGATATTGCATAAGTGCCTGGGGTTGTGCAGGCAAAACTCACCTTATCGCGGCCGAACGGGCTCAGCGACCTGTACTGAAGGTTAATGTACCTGCCTTTTAGGCATCCAACCACTTCCTTATATGAGAAAGCTGGTGTACTATCAATACGACAAATGTTTATTTATGAAACAATCCGGAGATATCATAAAAAATAGTTCCTACTTTACAAGATGACTCTAAAAGGGTAGATCGTTGTCCGATTCCACAAGTTAAAACCTCCTTTGCTAAAAAGCACTTCACTGTTGTGGCTCCACGTATTTATCATATTTTTAATAATAAATATACAGTTAGGAAGCATGCTAACAATAAACTTAAAAAAATTTACTTACTTGGCTGAAAAGTTTAGATTATGATGCGACAGAAGAAATTATAAAAATGCTATATAATATCTACAAACACACACACACACTCACACACACACCCACACACACACACCCACACACACACACACCCACACACACACACACACATACACACGCACACACTCACACACACACACACATTTTTTTTTTTCATTTTGTTATCTATAATTTTTTTGTGCTAATTTTTTTTCTTAATGTTACTCTTGTTGTTAGTACCTACATATATCATTGTGTTGGCATAAACCTGTCATTTATCATATGGGGATGACACTGGCTCCTGCAATACAGTTTTTAACGAGCGCACGGGCTAGCTTTATCAGCTGTGTATGTATAAAATTATGTCAATAAAGAATTTTTTTTTCCTCTTTGCTCATTGGAGGAGGCCTTTGTTCAGCAGTGGACGGTGATAGGTTGATATGATGATTGAATCTTTTAGATAAAACGAAATACCGCATTCTACAGCAGTTCTCATTACATAGCTATTAGCTATATTATTTTCTTTAAAACCAGCGGTTCACCCTCGCTTCGCTCGGGTTCCCCTCTGGAAAAACAGAAACAAATCTATCCCACGGGAACTGTACATTATGAGTACAACTATAAGCTATTCCAGACTTTAAGCTATCTCTGCGCCAAATTTCATTCAGATTCGTTCAGCCGTTCTGGCGTGATTGAGTAACAAACATCCGAACATCCATCTGAACTGTCACATTTATAATATTAGTAACATTAAAACTTAAATAAATGACTGGCATTTGCATTAAAATATAAAAGAGCAATGTGCTACAAAAAAGAAATTGCTAAGCGATTTTTATCTTATATACTAAATGGATATGAGATAAAAGTCGTACGAAAGTTTTATTATTAGTTATTATAAAATGGGGAAAATAGAAAAAATTTGTCCTATACCCGCAAAAAAAAACCATTCCCTCGGAACGTCAGATTCAAAAGAATTATATGAAAATTCTATTACGAGTAGGTAGTTAAGCACTATTTTGATTTGGATAACCTTATTTTATTTTTTTAATGTAGACAAATAGCGAGTTATAAACTACATATTATGTAATTCTATGTAAAATTATTTCATTTTGTACTATACTTTACTAGCGTTGTGTGTGGGTTGGTTTGCCATACAAACTTTCATCCCCATTTTCACCCCGATGATCCCGGCATAAAAAGTATCCTATGTCCTTCCCGGGGTCTCAAACTATCTTCTTACCAAATTTCATCTAAATCGCTTCAGTGGATCCAGAGATTACCCCCTACAACCTCACAAACTCACAAACTTTATTTATTATTTATTTTTATAATCTATACTATAATAAAACAGTAGAGGTCGAATGTCCGTACATAGCAAAAAATGCTAAAAACCGATTCAGGGGGATGTAAGAAGACAAATGGAATAAATCCAGAATTTTTTCAAACTTTTTGTTTCTCTGTCTGTTTGTACGGGCAAAACTCCGAAACTATTGGACCGATTTAAATGAAATTTTGCATGGTGGTACCTTATATCCTCGGACATCAACATCTTAGATACTTTTTATTCCAGAAAATTAAAGAGTTCCCGTGGGATACTTAAAAAACTATAGTATCTTATACAGCTTAGTACACAACAACTTATGCACCTAATTTAGTAAAATTTAACATTCTGATACCTTATATTGCCGGTCAAACAACAGGCTACTTTTCATCCCGAAAAAATAAACGGTTCCCGTGGGAACTAATAGATCTCTATTAGTTTTTCTGGAGGCGAACCCGAGCGAAGCGAGGGTGAGCCGCTAGTATTAGTATAGAAGTAAAGATTGAATAATGAAAATTTGTTCCATTGTAACTTATATCAGTCTGTTAATGATAGTAGGGAAATTAATAAGGTTTAAAATTTTAACAAACATTTCAAACAGTAAGCATATTTTGAAGGAAATTCTACCGAATATTTGAAATAGGTAAATAAAATAGGCCGCATTATTTGAATATGATAGGGCGTTACAGGATTAAATGAACAATGTAGCGCCTATAAAATTGCTCTATTTTTTTTTCAAAAAGTTTTTCAATTCGACCTTTATCTATACATATAATAAAATTCTAACTAAGTCAAATCTGTACATTAAATATTTTTTGGGAAATCTAATTGAAATAGACATTATTATCGATACAGAGTCCGAATCTATAGTTTTTAGAATTTTTGTCTGTCTTTCTGTCTGTCTGTCTGTTACCGCATCACGAGAAAACCACTGGACAGATTTTGATGAAATTTGGTATGATGATAGCTGGTTATCCGGGTCAACATATAGGCTACTTTTTACCACGGGAAAATATCTCATTTCCGAGAAAAAATACAAAAACACAAAAACTGCATTGTAAGAGTATACTAATATGTAAAACCTATCTGAACGCGGGCGGGGCCGCGGGCAATGCTAGTATATGTATTATTGCAAAATTTTGTAACAAAATATGTCATTCTAGTCAGTGGCAACGCTCTCGCTTGGGAAACCGAGTGAAGCGGGTTCAAATCCCGGGTCTCGCACCGGTCTCGCCGGGTCTGATATTTTCATGTGCGAATCATTTCCAACATGATTACCATTTGTCTTAACGGTGAAGGAAAACATCGTGAGGAAACCTGCATGTCTGAGAGAACCTAGCAAGTTTTTAAAAGACATGTGAAGTCCGCCAACCCGCACTTGGCCAGCGTGGTGGACTATGGCCTGATTCCCCACGTACTGTAGGAAGGCCCGTGTAGTAGGATGTTAAAAAGGGCTGAATACATGTGATTCTATTAGGATTTCTAACCAAATCGGGTTTTTATAATGCGAAAGTTTGTATGTGTATATGTGTTTGTATGCCTGTTGCTACATCGCGCCGGAGCAGTTGGATGTATAAAATTTAATACTCTACTATTACTAAAATTTAGACCTGAATATAGCTACTGTTATATAATTCTTGTTACAACCTAAAATAAAATAATCAAATTATAATTTTTTTGACAACACGTTTGGCACAGTTTGTAGTGACCCTACATTTTGTGCCAGCGGTCGCGGGTTCGAGTCCCGCTGGGGGCATTCATTTGTGCAATGACGAAGGTTTGTATTCCAGTCATGGGTGTTTATATTTATAATATGTATGTATTTAAAGTTATATATGTGTAGTGTATCAACCATGTCATATCAACTATCTGGTATCCATAACTCAAGTCTCGTAGCTTACCATGGAACTAGATGGTGCTGTGTGTAAATGTCCCAACGTATTTATTTAATTTATTTATTTTATTTGATTAGGAAATGAAAAAAATAATGTTATATTTATCAAAATATGATTTATTTTGAAATTACTTTGTTGAATTCTTTATGGTAATGTCGTTTACTACTTGGCCAATGTTAGCTATGCTCGATCCATTAGCGGCAAACAAAGAATTATTAACAGAATTATTAGATGAGCCGTCATCGTTATCAGTGAACACTTTAGTCACAGTGTAGACCAACTGGTAAGTAGTTGCAGCTTGCGCTGTGGCTAACATGCAAATCAGCAATAACCCTAAAATAATCTGAAATAAAATAAAAAAATATAAAATAAGTGAGTGAAATTTTATTAGCCATACTATACTATAATATTACAAATGTAAAAGTGTGTTTGTTTGTTTTTCTGTACATCTTTCACGTCAAAACAGTGTGAAACATTGGGGATTTTTTCTGTAGACTTAGTTTGAGGTCTGGATTCTGGAGAGTAGTGATATAGGCATTTTTTTACCGCGGGAGATTATCTCATTCTTACGGGAAAGCAACGGGAAAAAAATGATATCTACTGACTGAAAATTATATCTGCTGACCATTGACCACTAGTATAGTATTATACTATAGGTTTTAGTACTTTGTAGATAGAGATTTATCAAATCGTTTTGACAGAATATTCATACGATGGAACGGAGCACTAAGTAAAACGATTGTAATTTATGTAAAAATTAATACATTTCTAGAAGATTTACGTAAGACTTGATATTTATGCTCATCGACGCTTAAATACACCTATTTCAATTCAATACAGTAAGTTATAAAGTCGGTATTGAAAATAATATTTTTCAAACAAAGTTTAATTTATGTTATATTATTTAGATATCACTGGCCTATTAAATATTAATCGATTTCTATTTTATTTATGATTGTTGAAAACACTTCCGTTGCTGACTGTGTATTGTGCAATCTAAGTTAGATATAGTGAATAGACATTCTAAATTTAAATATGCAATGAATTTTACATCATGAAATTAATTCTTCAATTATTAAAGAATTTTACTGAGAATTATTAAAGAAAATTACTAAGCACGTACCACTTACCTTAGACTTCATCGTGTCTTAAAATGATGCCAATATAATGTGTAAAAGAAAATTTCTCGTTTTATATATTTACCTTATCTTATATATTTACTTTATTATCACAATTGGCCTTAAAATTCGGCACAATGCCTTTTACTAAATAATTATGAATATATTAAGCTTAATCATCTAATTAGCAAAGATCTGCATTCAATAAATTAAGGATTTTTTGGGTCAAAGCAACAATATAGATATCCACATTATGTTTTTTTTATGTTAACGTAAAAATATAGTATGTAATTGTAATAGTTATCATCTCTCTTCTATTTATTTATCTATCGTTATAATTTACCTTCAATTTTACATAACTAAAGAATTGTTAATCTATACATTTAATAAAATTGTAACTAAGCCGAATCTGTACATTAAATATTTTTTGGAAAATCTTATTGAAATTAACATTATTATCGATACAGTGACCGAATCAATAGTTTTTAGAATTTTTGTCTGTCTGTCTGTCTGTTACCGCATCACGGAAAAACCACTGGAGAGATTTTGATAAAATTTGGTGTGATGGTAGCTGGTTATTCGGGTTAACATATAGGATACTTTTTACTGCAGTAAAATATCTCATCTCTGAGAAATTGATACTAAACGTTTAAACGTAAGTAGAGACGAAACCGAGCGGAGTGAGGGTGAGTCGCTACTCGCTAGTAAGTAATAAATGTGTCTTTAACGTCTACCTAATTAGCAAAGAAGAAGTGCATTTTAACCCCTTACGCAAAAAGTAGGGAGTTATAGTTTAACGTGTGTATATCTGTGTATTTGTAGTGGCATCGTAGCGTCCAATCGGATGAACCGATTTTAATTTAGTTTTTTGTATGAAAGGTGATTTGATCGATAGTGTTCTTAGCTATAAATCGAGAAAATCCTTTTAGCGTTCTAGAAGGTATAAGGATATTAACAACTACCACAGATCTAATCGATTCGAAACTTATTATAGGTCATTGTGTTGCCCTATTTAAAAAGTCCAATAGGATCCCATCAAAAACGACAAAAGCCACATAGAAACTAATAAATGTTTATTGGTTTCTATGTGGCTATCTTCAATAGAATTGAAGTTTTTCAACAGGATGTTCTTTTTTAATTTTTTATGTAAGAGTTATAAACATTAAGTGCTTATGGAGGCCAAAATGAGAAATATATGTCTATACTAATATTATAAAGAGGTAAAGTTTGTGAGTTTGTGACGTTGTAGGGGGTAATCTCCGGATCTACTGAATCGATTTAGATGAAATTTCGTAAGAAGATAGTTTGAGACCCTAGGAAGGACATAGGATACTTTTTATCCCGGAAATCATCTCTTAAGGGGATGACAATGTGGATGAAAGTTTGTATTTTGAAGCAAGCTAGGGACGAACCCGAGCTAATCGAGGGTGAGTCGCTAGTATACAATATAGTATCACTATTGCCGATTTTACAATAAAATTAACCAAAAGGCGCACAGTAAGGCGTCGACACAAAATTAAGTGTAATACTCATACATATTTTCAAGTATTGGTAGCATAAAAAAATATTATTATATTTTCATAGTTACTTTACGTCATCTATGGTCTAATAGAACAAATTAAAATAGCCCGAATAATATAGCCCTAGTTAGTGCTAGTCCAATTTCCTTGCGTGGGATGAGGCACATGACTAGTATAGTAACTATTAAGTCACCTAAGCCGTTACATATGTACATATTGATTAGTTTTTTTTTAAATTTATTCCTTGTAAAATTTGCATATTTTCTCTATTTTAATTACGTTAATAAAATTGATTAAATGTTTCGTTAATTAACTAACAAAATAGTATAAAAAGGAAAACTTCAATGAAAACCTATAATCTATTAAAAATAAGCACTAACAAGAAGACCATATAGAAATATAAACAATGGTGTCCTGTAAGGTAAATAAATAAAATGGAATACACATAAAAAATATTTATTTATGAAAATTTTACTACTCTCTTTTCAATACATCACATATAAATAATAATAAAATTATTCCCATTAATATAACTGAGTTTATAAATCAATAATATTAGTATAATATATTTTAAATGTGTTTATGTATAACTATGAAATGAGTGTCACATTTATGAAAGTTTTTTAATATTTGTTTCAGACTAGTATCACTTGCGCGATCCTTCTCATCTGCTTCATTAGCTCTATTTATTCTGTGCCATACAACTATGGAGGAAACAATGGAAATAATTCTGGCATCCATGTTGTCGACAATGTTAATCGTGCCACGAATGCTGTTGTAGTTAAAGAGGACTCAGTTGGTAGCAATGTAGGACAGTATGTAAGACAGCAAAATTCGTAATTTCAAACCCATTAAAATGTCTAACACATTATAACATATCTATTTAAAAAAAAAAATGTAACATGTCAAACTAAATAAAATTTGATTTCTTCTGATTCTACTTTTTCTTAATTTCTGAGCATAATTGAAAAACGATAAAGCAATATTATGGTAAGCACTAAATACATATTATGTATCTTTAAAACTTGAGTAATAGAATTAAAAAGAAGATTACCCCTAATATATTAATATTTTAAAAGCTCCTTTATTATATTGGCTTCTATTATAATCTCAAATAACAATTGCTGTTACAATAGTAGATGAAATCTTCTAATAAATAATTATATTACATAATGCACGTGAACAATAGAAAAATGTTGTTGTTACATTTTCGGTATTTTATTATTATTGTACTGTGTATTTCATATTAAGAATGACAGAGTTTCGTACAATATTTAAACCTTATTTTGCCCACTTAGGGAATGAATTTCGAAAAAATCTTTCTTATCGAATGCCTACATCATTTAAGGCATACATCATCTAAATGACACGTTTCTACGACTAGCAGTTTAGGCTGTTGATCCATAAGTCAGTCAGGATCACCGCAGGATGCATCTCTCCTTTTCCATCCTTCCTTCAGCTGGTCTAACTTCCAGGTACAATAAATTGCACAGATAAGACGCAAATACAATACAAACAAAAACCAGATCCAAAAGAGATATAATAATAAAAATAAATTGCTTAACCTAAGACTGAATGTAAAAAGATCATACATGTAGCGCCCTCCTTTTAAAAATCTTTCGCATTCGAAACAGTTTTACCAATGATTTACTGTGATCAACACACATTACTACAAAACATTATTATCATCAGCGATTGTGAAGATGGCGCTAGAGGTGCGTCTGCTTTGATTTGACGCGAGATATTTTTTTTCTTTAAACAGATAAGCTTGGTTTTATATTCTCTAAGCAATATGTAACAAGTCAAAATAAATTAAAACTGATTTTTTCTAATTCCACTTTCTCTGAAAAATATAAATTTTCTAAGCAGAATTGAAAAACGATAAAGTGAAAGAAATCATCAAGATATTACATTTGATAGTCGAACCTCATTTATTTTATAGTCATAAATAAGAAATAGTAATTTAATAAAAAGGAAGTAGGATACAGAAATAAGAGAAAAAAATGCAGTTATACAGATAACAATGAATAAAAAAAATCTATCTCATTTGTGCATATTATTTTGCTCTTTGTATGTTAATTAGCAACTAATCTATTAGACGAGCTATATTTATGTCTATTTTCTAATATTAGATTTATTTTATACGGCAATCAATTTAGTTAGCAAAACAGTATATTATAAAGATGTTTTCTAACATATAAGTCCAGTAGAATTGGCAAAAATATATAAAAATATAAAAGTACTAGCATTGCCCGCGGCTCCGCCCGCGTTCAGGTGACCAAAAAACCAAATTCTTAGGTTTTATATATAAGTATACTCTTACATTGCAAGGTTGTTTTTTTTTCTTAGAAATGAGATATTTTCCCGCAATAAAAAGTATCCTATATATTGACTCGGATAACTAGCTATCACTATACCAAATTTCATCAAAATCGCTCCAGTGCTTTTTCTGTGATGCGGTAACAGACAGACAGACAAAAATTCTAAAAACCATAGATTCGGCCTCTGTATCGATAATAATGTTTATTTCAATAAGATTTTCAAAAAAATATCTAATGTACAGATTTGACTTAGTTACAATTTTATTATATGTATAGATTTAGGTATTTACATTTTTTACCATATTCGACTTGACATTGTTGCCAATAGCTGAGAGTATGTGTTTACTGTTTAAAGTATTTTTACACTTAATGACTTCGCCGCAATGTTATGCAATAGACATATAGAGGTATGCAATTATTCTTCTGACTGTCGGTATGTAATATTTCGGTTTTCTTGTTTTGCTTGGTTAAATTGTAAATATTATCGTCCTATAGTAGGTATTTTGTGGCGTAGTTACGTAGTAGTGGTGCTTCTGGTCTAAATATAGGAACCATATTATTTAGGCATTCTTGTTTACTAAACTTTCAAAAAGGAGGAGGTTCTATATTCGTCTGTTCGTTTTTTTATATTTGTTCACCGATTTCTCCGAGACGGCTTGCCCGATTTTGCTATTTTAAACGGTATTGCATTTAGGCAGGTCCTCAGGTGGTTCTGTATTTTTTTTGACTCAGAGTTTAGAATTGGATTTTAGAGCCTGATCTTCAGTGTTACTAAGAAAACTGAGTTTTTTAGTATGTTAGTCTTTATATGAAATAACAACTTTAGGAGCAAATATAATATTATGTACCCCAATTTCTTCATCTAGACTTTTTTATCCTTGTACCATTTGCATATTTTTTTATGCTAATTGCCTTGATAAAAATGAATAAATGATTCTTTAATTAATTTAAAAAATAGTTTAAAAAAGACAACTTGTACAAAATATAATATGAACTTGTACTAATAAGAAGACGATACAAAATAAATCATGACGTCTAAGGTAACTTAAATGAAATATGTATTAAAAATATAATTTGTGAAAATTAAAATTACATCTTATAAAAATGTTTCAAATTATACCTATAAGTTTAAGTATGTTTATTAATCATCGATAAGTATAATGTACTTTAGCTGTGTTCATATAACTCTGCTGTAAATGACATCACGCTTATGGAAGCTGTTTAATATTTGTTTCAGACTAGTATCACTTGCGACATCCTTCTTTCTCATCTGCTTCATTAGCTAATTTATTCTGTACCACTATAAATAAAATAAAATAAATAAATGTTGGGTCATTAACACACAGCACCACTAGTTCCATGGTAAGCTACGAGGCTTGTGTTATGGATACCAGATAGTTGATAGACTATACATATATCACTTTAAATACATACATATTATAAATATAAACACCCATGACTGGAGTACAAACATTCGTGCTCATCACACAAATGAATACCCCCAGCAGGACTCGAACCCGCGACCGCTGGCACAGCAAGTAGGGTCAGTACACACTGAGTCAAACGTGTCGTCATATAGAGGAGACAATGGAGATAATTTTGGAATTCGTGTCGCCAACAACACCAACAATGCCGCAAATATTTTTGTAGCTAGACAGGAGTCTATTATTACTAAATATATATATATATATTTTCCTTCGTCAACTTGTTTCTTCTTTTTAGCTTTTAAATAAGCTTTAATTTTTATATAGTCGGTTTCTTATTTTTTTTATTTATTAGCTCTTAAGTTTTGGCCAGTTAGATATATACAAATTATTATTAAATATATATTTTTTATATATTTCGTAATTGCCTGTTCAAAACCTTCATTTTGATACTCCACTCGATTGAATTGGAAGGAAAGATGTTTTCAAGCCACACAAATTGGCGTGGTGAATGTTGATGATTCAGCCGAATTGAGAACCTCCTCCTTTTTAAGAAGTTGGTTAAAAAGAGCTGAATCCATAAATTCTTCGTGGATAATAAATAGCTTAGGTTGTGATGTTAGTTAAGATTGATATAGGTATGCTAGTTGTCCGTAGTAGTTATGCGCAAGCGATCCTGCGGCGTCCCACTAAGGTGGAGGGGAGGGGAATGTCGGGTTTTAGTAGGTAGTACCGGCTCTTCTAGCCGGTGAGCCCCACATCACCACCTGGGCGATCAGATGGTACGCGCAAATGCATTTCCCGACACTAAAAAAAAGGTATGCTAGTTGTAAGATTACACAGTTTTCATTAATTTTAACATGCAATTTTCGTTCGAGACATCTCATCCTTATCATAGATTCTATCCATTAATTCGATAAAATAGTGACCTTGTACCTTTTTGCATTTTCAGTTAGTTCGATTACTGGTTCAGGTCATCTCTTTTAAAAAAATAAATGCAGTTAATCTTATTTTTAAAAATACAATAATGTTTCCTTCTGAGTGAAACTTGATATTTTCAGTGTTTAAGACACTTTTATTGCATATCCTGTGTGTTTGTTCCACGATGTTAGTGTCGATATGTAGGTATAATTTGTAAGATTTCAGCGTTTTTTTAAATTCTAAGACGCTATGTTTGTTAGAGAGATTTTATCCTCCCCTTAGACCCTATCGATTAATTCGATAAAATAGCGACGGTAAGGATTTATGCATTTTTATTTGATTCTATTCCCGGTTTAGGTAAACTTTTTAAAAAGGAATTAAATATATTTAATAATGTTTTTAAAAATAAAGAAATGTTTCCTTTTAGTAAACCTTGATAACTTCAATATTTAAGGTACTTTTCTTCCATGTCCCATGAATTTCTTTCATTCTGTATAAACATGGACAATTCGGCAATTAAGTATATCTGATTATACGATTCGATATTTACTACAGTAAAAATAGATGTTTCTTTGGTCAACTTTGCACTAAATTTCCGATCCAATTTTTTTATTTTATAAGTTTTATAATCACTTACTAAGTATAAAATCACAAAATGCTGACAGATTCCGATGGAGCTTCAGGCGCAATCTTAAAAAAAATTTGGCCGATATCTCGGAAACTATGCACTTTACGGCAAAAGTTATTGAAACTATTTTTGTAGAGAATAAAATTTTACATCTTATGTTTTCAGATTTTTTGGTAAGCTTACCGTTTACGATTTATGTCCCATTTAATGAACCGGTTCTTCTATCTCGGCCGGTAACTCTTAAAATATTAGTTTAAAAAATAAAATGCATCTATCAATTTTTAAAGGTCCATTTATTCTCTATAACTTTTGTTTAAATCTTTTTTTTATAATGTCCATACTTTTTGAGCTACAATACAATGCAATATCATTCTCCCAAAATTATTATACTGCATAAACTATAAATATAAAATAGCATGAATAATAATAAAAAACTATGTTTCATAAATAGTTATTTATTTAAACGCAGTACAATTATTATGAATAATCAAAAATGTTACAGCAATTTAACTTTCTCACATAATTTTTTTTAAAAAATATAAA